TGTGTTCATCCAGCTCTACACCTTGTTATCTCAGATTCTCCAGCATCTGCAGTCTCTACTATCTCTGATACAGTCAGGTAGTAGGGTTGCCAAGAGGGAAGGTAGGGAGGTAGTGCAGGGGTTTCCTGTGGTAATCCCCATCTCAAACAAGTATGCTGTTTTGGATAATGTCAGGGGTGATGGCCTCTCAAGGGAAAGATAGCCAGGTTTCTGGTACCGAGTCTGGCTCTACAGTAATGATTGGTATGTTGGGTTCCAAGCGATCAATTGTGATAGGACAGTGTCTAATTAGGGGCACAAACAGATGTTTCTGTGGCTGACAGTGAGATGTTGGAATGGTGTGTTCCCGATGCCAGGGTCAAGGATATCTTGGAGATGATGCATAATATTCTTGAAGGGGAGAGTGACCAGCAGAAGGTTGTTGTACAATTTGGTACCAATCACGTAGGAAGAGAAATAGACTAGGTTCTGCAGAGAGAATACAGGAGATTAGGCAGGAAGTTTAAAAAGTAGCTTCTCAAGGGTAGTAGTAACTGGATTACTCCAGGTGCCATGTGCAAGTGAGTGTAGAAATTGGAGGATATAGCAGACAAATGCAAGGCTGAAGAGCTGGTGCAAGGGACAGGGACTCACATTTTTGCATCGTTAAGATCTCATCTAGGGTAGAAATGACCTGTATAAGAAGGATGGGTTGCACCTGAATTGGAAGGGGACCAACATCCTGGTGGGGAGATTTGCAGGTGCTGCTCGGTAGGCTTTAAGCTAGTAAATGAGGTTGTGGGCCCCACAGAGATAGTCAGAAAAGAGATAGGTCTGAGGCTGGTGCAGTAGAGAAGATGAGCAAATTAAATAGTCAAGGCAGGCAAGAGTGAGGTAGAGAATGAGGTTAGACTGATGAATTAAATTGCATTCATTTCAATGCAAGAGGCCTAACAGGTAAGGCAGATGAACTCAGGGCATGGTTGGGAACCTGGGACTGGGATATCAATGCTATTACAGAATCGTGGCTCAAGGACGGACTGGACTGGCAGCTTAATGATCCAGACTACAGTTGCTATAGGAAGGATAGAAAGGGGGGCAAGAGAGCAGGGGAATGGTGTTTTTGGTTAACAATAACATTATGGCTGTACTTAGGGAGGATATTCTTGCAAGAATGTCCAGTGAAGTTATTTGCGTGGAACTGAGAAATAAGAAAGGTATGATCACGTTATTGGAATTGTACTACAAGCCCCAGCCAACACCCAATAGTCAGTGGGAAATTGAGAAGAAAATATGTAAGGAGATCTGAGATTTCAAGTCTAGGGGGCACATTTTTAAGGTGAAAGGAAGGAGATTTAGGAAAGACATGAGAGGCAAATTATTTACATGGAGGATAGTTCATACGTGGAATGAACTTCCCGAGGAAGTGGTGGACGTGGGTATAATACAACATGTAAAAGACATTTGAATAAGTACGTGAATTGGAAAGATTGAGAGGGATATGGGCCAGGAGCAGGCAGGTGGAACTAATTTAGTTTGGGATTATGTTCGGCATGGACTGGTTGGACCAAAGGGTCTGTTTCTGTGCTTTATGATTCTATAACTATGTCTGTAAATGTGACTTTTGTTAAGATTGTTTGTGTATTCTTTACAAAGAATTTATCATTTCAACCAGTGTAAAGTGTCCATATTGAACCCAGGTTTAAGCACCAGACATTGAACCCTGGTTACTTTTAATCCAGTTCCTTTACCTTCATTCAATTTGTCCTCCTTTTCACTTCACAGGCTGTCAAAGCCTTTGGTTTATTATTGTCCAAAAAAAGTTCAAGTTACTTTAATTATAAAATATGATGTGCAGTTGCTGTGTTGGACTGGGGTGGACAAACTCAGAAGTCACACGACACCAGAATATAGTCCAACAGGTTTATTAGAAATCACAAGCTTTCGGAGAGGGGCTACGCTCTGAAAATTTGAGATTTTAAATGAACTGTTTGGACCAAAACCTGGTGCCATCTGACTTCTGACTGAATTATAAATCAGTTATTGACAGGCACAGAACATAATAGCACGGAAGCTGCAAATCCTGAACGAAACCTCCAAGAAAAGCCAATTTTTAGGAAACCTTGTGGAAGAAAGAAACTGTTGTTCCTCAAGGCTGTGGACCAACTCTCCGGCACCCAAAATCTGCTGGAACCAATGTTTACAAATATATTTACTCCAGGTCTGAAAAGAGTGAAATAGCTACAGTGACAAGGGGACTGGATAGTCTAATTGGGATGGTGTGAACTAAGAATTAGAGATAGAAGTGGAATGTTGGGAGCGGCATTTCATGCAAAGTGAATGATGAAAGAGTAGGAGCTTCACTTTCTGAGAAAGGGAGGTTAGAGTTTCTCTATTACAAGGCGAGGGTGCACTGACTCTGTGAGCTCTGCCAAATGCTGGAGACTGATTTTGTGAATTGAAGCTGTCGGGCATGAGGTATGGCTGTGTTACTGGAGGAAGGACATTGAGGTAAGTGATGGTATGTCGTTATATGTGAAATGCGACCTTTGTTAAGATCCAATAGATGATAGCTTTCTGATCACAGTGAGCTAAACTCTATTTATTTGAAAGCATTTACATTGAGGTCAGAAAAGTGATTAACATCCTGCTCGAATACACTGACCAAGTATTTATATACATCTTTCTGGTGGAAATTCTGCTCAAATGGATTGCGTATGGATTCAAAACATACTTCACCAAAACATGATTCTGGCTAGACTTCTTTATTCTGTACAAAATATTGCATCTGTTCACCCATGGCCTGTTGGAAAAGGAACCATGGAAGCACCCCCCAGTAACAGTGAACGATGCTGTATATTCTGCCAGCCAAAGTGGAAAGCTCTGTGTCAAACATTAGTTCTCACAATGACACAGCTGTTCTTAAGATGTTTGCACTCTGAACTGTTGCAAAGATATTCTTGAAGTTGTTGCTCCATTTTCTCAATTCTTTTACATTGGCTGGTATGAACTGATGTGATTTATTACTATTATTGTCACATGTACCGAGAAATAGTGAAAAGTATTGTTTCCTGTGCTAACCTGACAAATGTTACCTTACATCAGGGTAATCAAACAGAATGCAAAATGTAGTGTTACAGCTACCGAGAGGGCGCAGAGAAAGTTCAACTCTAAGATATGAGAGTTCTGTTCATCAGTCTGATAACAGCGGGAAGAAGCTGTTTTCAAATTATTGTATCTTCTGCTGGATGGAAGAGGGTGGAAGAGAATATAACCAGGGTGGGAAGGGTCTTTGATTGTGTAGGCTGCTTTCCTGAGGCAGGAGATAGTGTAGACGGAGTTAATAGAGGGAAAGCTGGTTTTTGTGATGGACTGGGCTGCGTTCACAACTGTCTGAAATTTTTTTGTAGTCTTGGGCAGAGCAGTTGCCATGCCAAGCAGTAATATACCTGGAAATATGCTTTGTATGGTACATCTGTAAAAATTGGTAACTCATTGTGAACATGCCGAATTTCTGTAGCCTCCTGAGGAAATAGAGGCATTGGTGTGCTTCCTTGTCTGTAGCATCGATGTGGATAGATCAGAATAAATCATTGGTGATATTTTTGTGTGTGGGACATGCAGATTTCTCTGCCAGTTTTTCCTCCGGTTTGGAGAATGCTGTGGTTTAAAGTTTTGATGAATGAACGTGGACACTTCATTGTTGGGAAATGACAAAGTGATTGCAGTCTGCTCCTCTGCAGTGTTTGAAGGAAACCCTTGACGGCTTGTTTTGCTGCATCCCGATACTGAAGCTATTGCACTAACCAGCCTATGGGAGAAGGAATTTTGAGCCAAAGGCACATGTGACCATAATACTCTGCATGGGCATCTGCTCACATTTCAATACCCCTGTTTGCTAATCCCAGAATCACAAAGTCTAAATGTAGCCCAGATTGGTTTGTGCCATTGGCTGCAGAAGAAAGATGAAGAGAAACAAAAGAACTGAACTAACAACCACCAGCATATGGTTCCTATTAAGAGCCTTTATAAGGCACTGATCTTGAGTGTTAATACATGTTTGCTTTGGCAGTGTGTATGCTAACATTGGAACCATACAGAAAACATTAGCAAGGCTCCAATGTGAGGGTGTCATGCAAATTCATGAAGCATTCCATATTTTGCACTTCACAACATTTCAACCACTGCAAAGTGTCCAAATTAACCCCAGGTTTAAACACCAGACCTTGAGCCCTGGTTACATTTCATTCAGTTCTTCACTTTCGCTCAATTCAACCTCCTTTCCATTTCACTGGCTTTCATGTCTTTTCGATTTACCCTCCTCAACAACGTATTTAAGTTATTTAACACATTAATTCAAAAACATGATGTGTAGGTACTGGTGTTGGACTGGGGTGGACAAACTCAGAAGTCACATGACACCAGGTTATAGTCCAACAGGGTTAGTTGAAATCACAAGCTTTTGGACAGGGGCTATGCTCCGAAAGCTTATGATTTCAAATGAACCTGTTGGAATTATAACTTGGTGTCATCTGATTTTTGACTTAAATATAAAGCAGTTATTGACAGGAGAAGAACAAAATACCACAGAAGCCGCAAATTCTGAATGAAACCTCCAAGAAAAGCCAAGTCTTCGGGAACCTTGTGGAAGAGAGAAACTGTTGTTCCCCAAGGCTGTGGACCAACTCTCCAGTGCCTGAAATCTGCTGGAAACAGTGTTTACAAATACATAGACCCCAGGTCTGAAAAGGGTGAAATAGCTACAGTGTTAGGGGGACTGGTCTGTCTAATTAGGATGGTGTGAAGTAAGAATTCGAGATAGAAGTGGAATTTTGGGAGCAGCGTTTTATTCGAAGTGAATGATAAAAGATTAGGTGCTTCACTTTCTGAGAAGGGGAGATTAGAGTTTCTCTGTTACAAGGTAAGGGTGCGGTATCTCTGTGAACTCAGCCAAATGCTGGAGACTGACTTTGTGAATTAGTGCTGGAGGGCATGAGGCATGGCTAGTTACTGGAGGAAGGACATTGAGGTAAGTGACGGTATGTCGTTATATCTGAAATGGGACCTTTGTTAAGATCCAATATATTATAGCTTTCTGACTACCGTGGCCAAAACATTTTATTTACTTGGAAGAATTTGAAGACACTTACATGGAGGACAGGAAAGTCATTAAGATCCTGCTCGAATACTCTGACCGAGTATTTATATACACCTTTCTGGTGGAAATTCTGCTCAAATGGATTGCGTATGGATTCAAAACATACTTCACTAAAGCATGATTCTGGCTAGACTTCTATATTCTTTACAAAGTATTTGCCTGCATCTGTTCACCCATAACCCACTGTAAAATGAAGCATGGAAGCACCCTCCAGTAACAGTGAATGATACTGTATATTCCTCCAGCCAAAGGGAAAAGCTCTGTATCAAGCATTAGTTTTCACAATGACACAGCTGTTCTTAAGTTGTTTGCACTCTGATCTGTTGCAATCACATTCCTGAAGTTGTTGCTTCATTGTGCAAGCTCTTTTACATTGGCAGGTAGGACCTGATTGGATTTATTACTATTATCGTCACATGTACTGAGAAATAGTTTAAAATATTGTTTCGTGAGCTAACCTGACAAATGATACCTTACATCAGGGTAATTGAACAGAATGCAAAATGTAGTGTTACAGCTACAGAGAAGGTGCAGAGAATGATCAACTCTAAGATATGAGAGGTCCGTTCATCAGTCTGATAACAGCGGGGAAGAAGTTGATTTCAAATTATTGTATCCTCTGCTCGATGGAAAAGGGTGGAAGAAATTATAACTGGGGTGGGAAGGGTCTTTGATTAAGTTGGCTGCTTTCCTGAGGCAGGAAGAATTGTAGACAGAGTCAGTGGAAGGAAGGCTGGTTTTTGTGATGGACTGGGCTGCGTTCACAACTCTCTGTAATTTTTTTGTGGTCTTGGGCAGAGCAGTTGCCATGCCAAGCAGTGATATACCTGGAAAGATGCTTTGTATGGTGCATCTATAAGTATTAGTGACTCATTGTGGACATGCCGAATTTCCTTAGCCTTCTGAGGAAATAGAGGCATTGGTGTGCTTCCTTGACTGTAGCATCGATGTGGATAGATCAGAATAAATCATTGGTGATATTTTTGTGTGTAGGACATGGAGATTTCTCTTCCAGCTTTTCCTCCTGTTTGGAGAGTGCCCTGAGTTGCAGTTTTGATGAATAACGTGGACACTTCATTGTTGGGAAATGACAAGGTGATCGCAGTCGATAGAACCAGTCTGCTCCTCTGGAGTGTTTGAAGGAAATCCTTGACAGCTTGTTTTGCTGCATCCTGATTCTGAAGCTACTGCACTAACCAGCCTAGGGAAGAGGAATTTTGAGCCAAAAGCACACGTGACCATAATACTCTGCATGGACATCTGCTCACATTTCAATATCTCTGTTTGCAAATCCCAGAATCACAAAGTCTAAATGTAGCTCAGATTGGTTTGTGCCATTGGCTGCAGGAGAAAGATGAAGAGAAACAAAAGAACTGGGCTAACCATGACCAGAAAATGTTTCCTATAATGAGCCTTTCTAAGGCAATGATCTTCAATGACACCACGTGCTTATTTCAGCAGTGTATTTACTAAAATTGGAATGATACAGAGAAGATTAGCATGGCCCCTGTGGAAGAATGTCATGCAACTTTGTGAACTGTTCTACATTTTACACTTCACAACATTTCAACCACTGTAAATTGTCCATATTGACCCCAGGTTTAAACACCAGACATTGAACCCTGGTTCCAGCCGTTTCTCAACTTCAGTGACTTAAATTACAAAAGCAGAAATTGCTGGAAATGCTCAGCATGTCTGGCCGCATCTGTGAAGAAAAATATTCCTTTCACTCTACAGGCTCTTCGCTGTCTTTGGGATTTACTTTCTTCAACAATAGATTTAAGGTGTTTAAAACATTATTTATGTAATAGTTTAAAGTTGTTTTTGTTGTACATTACAGTGACTATAACTGGGAAATGCCTTTTTCATTGAGCTTTCATATGGCACTGGTCCTCAGCTACACCTTCTGTTTGCTTTGGCAGCACATTTGCTGAAATTTGTGAAAATTCCCATGGCCAATGTGCAGGGATGACATACAAACTCTTTAAGTTTTCCTTGTTTTATCCTTTTATGATCACCTGTCAATTATTAAGTATGGAAACGTGGGAAGTTAAATAGGACTTTAAACTAGTAAGTAGGGGGGAAGGGAGAAGTGAGCAAAGAGGGAGAATAACAATGTAAGGCAAAGCAGTAGGTTAGCAGGTGACTCCATTGAAAATTAGGAAAAAAGTTAAAAGGCAGGAGAACTCAAGAGCCAGTAATGGATGTAATAGGACCCAAAAAGAAGGTGCAAAAATTGGCATAAGGGCACTTTATCTGAATGCTTGGAGCATTCGAAACAAGGTGGATGAGGTGATGGTGCAAATCATGGCAAATGGGTATGATTCAGTAGCCATTACAGAGACATGGTTACAGGATGGTCATGACTGGGAGTTAAATATCCAGGGGTATCAAACTGTTCGGAAGGACAGACAGGAAGGTAAGGGAGGTGGTGTTGCTCTGATTTTTAAGGATGATATCAGGGTGGTAGTGAGAGATGATATAGGTTCTACTGAACAAAACGTTGAATCCATTTGGGTGGAAATTAGGAATAGCAGGGAGAAGAAGTCATTGATAGGTGTGGTCTAAAGGCCACCAAATAATGACATTGTGGTGGGGCGGGCAATAAACATAGAAATAGCTAATGCATGTAAAAATGGTTACAGCAATTATCATGGGGGATTTTAATCTACATATCGATTGGTCAAACCAGGTCGGTCATGGCAGCCTTGAGGAGGGGCTCATAGAATGCATCCGCGATAATTTCCTTGAACAATATATAATGGAACCTACGAGGGAGCAAGCTATCCTAGATCTAGTCCTGTGTAATGAGACAGGAATAATTAATGATCTCACAGTTAGGGATCCTCTCGGAAGGAGCAATCACAGTATGGTCGAATTTAAAATACAGATGGAACGTAAGAAGGTTAAATCCAGTATTTATGTCCTGTGCTTAAACAAAGGAGACTATGAAGGAATGAGGGAGGAGTTAACTAAGGTAGAATGAGAGCAAAAACTTTATGGTGGGTCAATTGAGGAACAGTGGAGGACTTTCAAAATGATTTTTCACAGTGCTCAGCAGAAGTACATTCCAGTGATAAGGAAGAATTTTAGGAAAAGAGAGAGCCAGCCATGGATGTCTAAGGAAATAAAGGAAAGTATCAGACTGAAAAAAAAAACACATTCAAAAAAACAAATAGTGGGAAACTAGTAGACTGGGAAATCTTTAAAGGCCAACAAAAAGCCACAAAAAATGTTATAAAGAAAAGTAAGATAGATTATGAGAGTAAACTAGCTCAGAATATAAAAACAGGCAGCAAAAGTTTCTATAAATATGTAAATCGTAACAGAGTGACGAAGGTAAACATTGGTCCTTTAGAGGATAAGAAGGCCAATTTAATAACTGGGAATGAGGAAATAGCCGAGACATTAAACAGTTATTTCGTGTTGGTCTTCACTGTGGAAGACACAAATAACATGCTGAAAACTAATGGCAAGAAGGTTATAGCAGGTGAGGACCTAGAAACTATCATTATCACTAAGGAGGCAGTGCTGGGCAAGCTAATGGGGCTAAAGGTAGACAAGTCTCCTGGCCCTGATGAAATGAATCCCAGGGTACTAAAAGAGGTGATGGGGGAAATAGCAAATGCACTAGTAATTATTTACCAAAATTCACTGGTCTCTGGGGTGGTTCCTGCAGATTGGAAAACAGCCAATGTGACGCCACTGTTTAAAAAAGGAAGTAGACAAAAAGCAGGTAACTATAGGCCAGTTAGCTTAACTTCGGTCGTGGGGAAAATGCTTGAATCTATCATTAAGGAAGAAATAGCAAGACATCTGGATATAAATTGTCCCATTGGGAACACCCAGGATGGGTTCATGAAGGATAGGTCATGTTTAACTAATTTGGTGGAATTCTTTGAGGATATTACTTGCATGGTGGACAATGGGGAACCTGTGGATGTGGTGTATCTGGATTTCCAGAAGGCATTTGACAAGGTGCCACACCAAAGGCTGCTACATAAGATAAAGTTGCACGGTATTACAGGTAATGTATTGGTATGTATAGAGGATTGGTTGACCAGTAGAAAGCAAAGAGTAGGGTAAATGGGTGTTTTTCTGGTTGGCGGTCAGTGGCTAGTAGTGTGCCTCAGGGATCAGTGTTGGGACCTAAATTGATTACAATTTACATAGATGATTTGGAGTTGGGGACTAAGTGTGGTGTGTCAAAATTTGCAGATGACACTTAGGTGAGTGGTAGAGCAAAGTGTGCAGAAGACACTGAAAGTCTGCAGAGGGATATAGATAGTTTAAGTGAATGGGCAAAGATCTGGCAGATGGAGTACAATGTTGATAAGTGTGAGGTCATCCATTTTGGTAAGAATAACAGCAAAATGGACTATGTTTTAAATGGTAAAAAATTGCAGCACGCTGCTGTGCAGAGGGACTTGGGTGTCCTTGTGCATGAATCGCTGAAGGTGGGATTGCAGGTGCAGCAGGTAATTAAAAAGGCAAATGGAATTTTGTCTGCCATTGCTCAAGGGATGGAGTTTAAAAACAAGGAGGCTATGCTGCAGCTGTATAGGGTCCTGGTGAGGCCACACCTGGAGTACTGTGTGCAGTTTTGGTCTCCTTACCTGAGAAGAGATATACTAGCACTGGAGGGGGTGCAGAGGAGATTCACTCGGTTGATTCCAGAGTTGAGAGGGTTGGATTATGAGGAGAGACTGAGTAGACTGGGATTATACTCATTGGAATTCAGAAGAATGAGGGGAGATCTTATAGAAACATATAAGATTATGAAGGGAATAGATAAAGTGGAGGCAGGGAGGTTGTTTCCGCTGTGAGACTAGGACTAGAGGGCATCGCCTCAAAATAAAGGGAAGCAGATGTAGGACTGAGGTCAGGAGGAACTTCTTCACCCAAAGGGTTGTGAATCTGTGGAATTCCCTGCCCAGTGAAGCAGTTGAAGCTACCTCGCTGAATGTTTTTAAGGCAAGGCTAGATAAATTTTTGAACAGTAAAGGAATTAAGGGTTATGGTGAGTGGGCGGGTAAGTGGAGCTGAGTCTCAAAAAGATCAGCCATGATCTTACTAAATGGCGGGGCAGGCTCGAGGGGCCAGATGGCCTACTCCTGCTCCTAGTTCTTATGTTCTTATGAACATATCATTAACTTTAATGTAACGGCTCACTGTTTTCCTGGGTCTGTTTTTCCACAATCCTTTGAAAATCATGCCTTGAAATATTATGTAACAATGAACTGCTAGTGACTGTGGATGATGTAGATTCCTTCAGCCAAAGTGCAAAAGTCACTTTTACATTTCACCGTCTCTAAATTGTCAATATTGATGCCAAGTGTAAACACCAAACATTAAGCATAGGCTACATTGTTATTCAGCTCCTTCTCCACTTCATTCATGTAACTTCTTTTCCCTCCACAGAGCCATCACACATCAGGATTTACTCATTTACAACTCACCTGAAAACCTATTTTAATAATTGCTGTTTCACAGAAACTGCAAACCTGGAACAAAGACACATTCACATTCCAGGGTATGTCTCCCCCTTTCATCCGAACATGACCATCAAACTGAATCAAGAAGGTGAGAAGTGTAATGGCACTTGACTGACTGCAAGATCAAGGTGCTCTCATAAATCTGAAGTCAATGTACACTGTTGAAACTGTCCATTGGTTCTCCACAGACCGTATGCAAAAGAATTTGATTGTGACTGATGGACACCAACTGTCTCATTCCCTGGACTTTGCATCATCATATTCCTTGGGATTGTGCCTTTGGTCAAACTATCTTCTGCTGCTGCAATAATGATCTTCCATCTATCACAATGTCAGAAGAGGGGATGTTGCTGATAATTGCAAAGTTCAGCTCCAGTTACATTCCCTCAGTTAAAGATGCAGTCCATGCCAACATGCAGCAAGACTGAAATAATATTCAGCCTTGGACTTATAACTGAGCATTGCCATTCTGCAGGCATCACTGTCTCAAAAAAGGTGGCTTAATTACCACCTCCCCAACCCTTTACAAATATTGGCATTGTTACTGTTGAATTCCCCTACAAACAACTTCCTGAGAAGAGTTTGGAATGGGCAGAATCACTATTAATCAGAAATTTAATTGCATTTGGAACAGAAATATATTATGTACAGGAGCTAGTCTGATGTTCGATGTTTTTGACAGCTAACTCATCTTCTGCTTCTCAACTTTTCCACAATCATCAAAGTATCAATGTGGAGTGTGATCAAACATACTCCTTTTGCCTGGCTGAATCCAGCTCAACCAAACACAAGAAGCCTAAAATCTTCCAGGGAAAAACAGCCAGTTTGAATGGCACCCATCTACCAGTTTAAACATTTAATTCCTCTATGATCAGTGCACGTGACCACAATGTGCAATGTCTACCAGATGGACTTACCAGGTTGTCGTTAACAGCATCCACTGAAACCATGACCTCCATAGCCCACATGTGTGGTGGTTCATGGGAACATCATCACTTTAAGTCACACACCATCCTGCAGTGGATCACTGTAGTTTATAAGTGATAATTCAGATTCCTTGGACTCCCTTCTTAACTGCCCCCTCAATCATAAATTATACAGTACAATAGTCATAACCTTAAACATGTCAATGATGTTCCCTCCTTCTCCTCCCCCAACACACCCCCAAAGCTTTCTCAGCTCTGAAGAAAACAATCCAGGTTTATCCAGCCTCTCTTCATTGTTAATGTGCCCCAGTCCAGGCTACATCAACTGCACTGCCTACCTCAACACATTTGGTCACCTCCTTGAAATATTCAATCAAATTTGTTATGCGTGACCACCTTCTGACAAAGCCATGCTGACTGTCCCTGTTCAAACTTTGTCTCTCCAGTTGACATTAATTCTTTCCTTCAGAATTTTCTCCAATAGTTTTCCTGCCAATGATGTGAGACTCACTGGTCTGTAATTCCCTGGTTCATCTTAACCACCCTGCCTGAAAAGCGATATCATATTAGATATTCTGCAATCCTGTAAGACCTCCCCTATGACCAGAAAGGAGTTAAAAATTTGGGTAAGAGCCCTTGAAATTTTATCCCTCATCTCCCACAGCAGCCTGGAATACCATTCATTTGGATCGGTGGCTCAGTCCATTTTTAGGCCTGCCAAAACCTCCAGTGAGGTTTCAAAGAATGAAAGGTGATCTCATTGAAACATTTAGGATTCTTAATGTGCTTGACAGAATAAATGTTGAGAAGACGTTTCCCCTCACTGGATAGTCTACAATAGAGGGCATAATTTCAGAGCTAAAGGGTGTCAATTTAAGACTGGATTGAGGAGTAATTTCTTCTCTCAGAGGCTTGTGACTCTTTGAAACTTCTTGCCACAGGGTACTGTGGGGGCAGACTCGTTCTATATATTTAAGGCTGAGATAGATAACTTCTTGATCAGTAGGAAAATTAAGGGCTATGGGAAAGGCAGGCAAGTGGATATGGGGAATGCTGGATCAGCTATAATCTTAGTGAATGGCGGAGCAGGTTTGAAAGGCTGAATGGCTTGCTCCTGTTCCTATTTCTTATGGTCTTAACAACATACCAATGTCCCCCAGCTCCAAGCACTCATTGCTCCTTTGGTTCGTAATGGACTCTACTGTTTGCCTGGTTATCCTCTTCCCCTCGATATATTTATAGAATATCTCCAGACTCTCCCTTGTTACCTCCCCCTCCCCACACTATTCTGCTGTAGATTTACCTGAATTAGCTCTTCCCAGTTTACTTTGGTCAAATTCTGTATTATTTTAATAAAAACCGTCTTCTTCCAATCCAAAATCCATTTTTGCAGATCATCTTTTTCCTTTTTCATATCAAACTTAAAATTAAAATACAGTTTTGTGGTTGCTATCACTGTTGCAGTTCAAAAATGCAGTTCATTGTCATCTCCAGACAATTAGGGATGGGTCATGAGTTTGGGCCTTATCGGTGATATTGACGTCCTGTGAATAAAAGAAAACACAGGGCAGGGAAGTCAGTGATTTAAGAACAAAATTAACCTTTAATCATGACTCTTCTGATCTTCAAAAACCAAAGGTGCTTTTTCGATACAAAGAAGACTATTGTACAATTCAATTTTTCCATTTGTTCTGACAAAAGTAATCTTACTTTGATTTTATTATTTATTTGTAGATTCTTACTTTATCACTAAAATTCAAAAATGGACAGCGACATCACAAACATTACATTTGAGTAATTTGTGAACAGTTCCAATTTTATCTGCTAAGCTCTGTTGCAAGTTCTTGAAGCTAGCCATGCAAAATTATTACTCCTTTAGAACTGAATGCGATGTTGTAAAGACCAATAAGTTGCCCTAATATATAGTCATGAATGTTTACAATTTCATCTCATAGTTAGAACTCAAGTGATGCTCAAGAGAGTTCATCTTACACATGGACCCCATCCTCTCAAAGTCTTCAAAAACAGTATGTGGAATTGAAGCACAAATACTTTATGATGGCTCAGAGATGATGAAGGGTGTAAACATGAAACGCTGACTTTCCGGCTCTTCTGATGCTGCCTGATCTGCTGTGTTCCTCCATCTCCACACCGTATTGACTACATTATGATGGCTGCTTTTCTTCGTGAATCTTAGGGTTGTTGCAAAGTCTCGGTGCAGATTTTGAATCAATAACTGATCAGGAGCAAAGCTAGAGGACAATAACACCAACCCAAGATTGTCTGCAGACAGAAGATTGTCTACATCAATGCAAGAACAAAAATGGATGTATGTCAACTGAAATGAGGTTTTTTTTCTGAAGTTGACCTTTATTTTGTGAGGGTCATGGAATATTTCAGATGGTTTTTGTGAGGTATTAATTGTTATCCTTGGATGCCTATAAAAGCAAACATATAGAGTAACAACTCATAGCACAAACATAATACCATGAAATAAACTTTACACACTTGATATACAATATCAAAAAGGAATCATTCCTCTTGTTTCTTTTTCATATATGTCTGGTATGATTCCCAGTGGTGACATCACCATTTTAATGATAGCTTTTCCAAACAGTTTGTCTTCATACTTTATCAACTGCTTGCAGAATCCACTATTTGGCCTAATTATCGGCCTGCATGCTTTCAACCAGGTATGAGCATTGAGCAGAGAGATGTGGTGGTATTCCATGAGATAAGCAAAGTACAAAGTGGCAGTTCTATTGATTCCTGCAACACAATGCAGCAATGTTTGTCCATATAATTTTTCAACAAGCCGGATTTTGTCTGCTACCTGTCAAAATACACACTTAGCTGTGAACTGGGAGAATCTGCAATGGGAATGCTAATATACTCAATACCTGGAAACTTAGAACCAATCACTTCTGGGGTCACACAAATTAAACCCGTCAATCCACTTGACTGCAAGAGTCTCTAATTGTTTGAAGCAACAGCATTGCTCAAACATAAACTGTGTATTATCTGAGCCAGACCAGAGAGACTTGGTCTGGGCTGCCTGGAGTGAAGTGACGAAATGCTTTTTGCTGTCAACTGGAGATTCAAATCCATTACAAATACAATGTCGGGTTTTCTTCAACATTCAAGATTCCTAAAACTAAACAATAGTTAAAAGTCCCAATCAGAGAGAAAATAACAAGTTTCTGATCAGCGAGTAACATTAATCTGTTGTCCTGACAGGGCAGATGACAACCACTTGCACTTATATAGTGCCTGTAACACAGTAAGCATCCCAAGACGCCACACAGAAATGTTATCAGACAACGTTTGACCAAAGAGATAATAGCTCTTAATAACTGGGAGATCAAAAACGTGGCAAGATATATATCTTAAGGAGCATTTAAATAGGAATGTTATGTTACAGCGATATACAACACTATCTAGATCACAGCTCGACTACAGCGTCCTGTTCTCCACATTACAGGAAAGATGATGCAGAGGTGATTAACGGGAATGTTGCCATGTCTGGAAAATTTGAGTTAAGGAAAGACTGGCTAGGCTAAAGTTGTTTTGCTTGGAATAGCAGCTAAGGAGTGACTTAATTGAGGTACATAAAATGATGACTGTCAAGATGAAGTAAATAGGGATGACACATTTACTTTAGTGGAGGTTAGACGAAAATGAGGAGCATAGATTTAAAGTAATTGCAGGAAAATTTCGGGAGAAGGTGTGGAAACATTCTTTTTAAACTAGGTAGTGGTGGGGAGCTGGAATTCAATGCCTGAAAGGTTGGTAGAGGCAGAAACTTTCATCACAGGTAAAATGTATTTGGATATCCATTTGGAAAGCTGTGACCTGTAGGACTACAGGCTTAGCACAGGAATGTTGGATTAGGCTGGTTTACTCATTATCATCCTACATGGACAGCTACAACATTGGTAGGAATACGAAGTTTGCCCAGTATGTCCTGTTCACAAAATGCAAGACCAATCCACCCTCGCTAGTTCCTGCCCCATCAGTCTACTCTTGATCCGAAGTGAAGTGATGGAAGGGGTCATCAATAAGTACTATGAAGCAGCACTTGCTTGGAAATAACCTCACTATTGCTGTGTTTTGGTTCTCTCAGAGTCACTCAGTTGCTGACCTCATCATAGCCTTGAAATATGTGCAAAGATCTTCACTGCAAAAATTCACCAAGGATTTTTACAGAGCAACATCCAAAAGCACAACCATTATAATGTATTAGTATAAGGGCAGCAATTATATGGGAACATCACCAACTGCAAATTCACCTCCAAGCTACACACCTTCCTGCCACAGAAATATATTGCTGTTCCTTTGCCGTTATGGTGTCCAAACCTTTAGTCCTTCCCTGACAGTGGGTACACTGACACTAAATGGATAGCAGCGGTTCAAGAAGGCAGTTCACCACCACTTTCTCAAGGCATATTAAGCATAGTTTATAAATAAAGACCTGGTGAGCTTTTCCAGCAATTTCTGTTTTGTTTATAAACACTGGCCCTATTAGTGATACCTACAATGCTGAATGAGTCAAAGGCAAAAGGGCCAAATCATCTTGAGTTGTAAATTTTCTGAGATTTCTAAGAGTATTTCTGCATGCCATACTGTTATGCATTTGACGTATTAACTACAATATAAATAACCCCTACCCAACATAAAATTATTACATTTAATAAATTCTACCTCACAAAAGACGACAATGATTAGTGACCCTTTCTAGATGAGGAGCAATTTGCATTATGTGATGGTCAATTTGAAATAAACATCCGAGGGTGTTTTACAGACACCTAATCAGATAAAACAACCAAGGGGAGACGAGGGAGAGTTTTGTTGGAGGTAAACAGTAAGGAGTGAATAACGAAAGATACATCAAAAGGCCGAGGTGAGGGACAGGGAGAGGCCTGGGTCTATTCCTCACACAAGGCCCTCTCACTAACAGCAGCTCTACAGGCCTCCATCAGCCCGAGTCCCCCGTCCCAACAGGCCCAACCCAACCCACGACCGCCCTGGCGACAGGCCCCGCCCACCGAGCCCGCGCTGTTTACAGGTTCCGCCCACCGAGTAACCCAGGCGACAGTCCCCGCCCACCGAGCCGCCATAGCAATAGGCCCCGCCCACCAAGGCGCCCATCGACAGGCCCTGCGGCGACAGACCCCGCCTCTCGTGCCGCACCAAATGAAAAGAGGCCCTCATTTACATTCAACCACAACGTTCCATTCTTATTTTCCAGTTTACCTGAACAAATTCCGAAATTCGAAGTTGAAGTTTACGATAATTACGTAACCTTAAATATATGAAATGTATGATGTGAAAAATTTGATTTAAAACCAACTATCACCCTTATACAAATATAATAGAAATTTCGAAGCTTTATAAAACACTGGGCGACAGTGTTTGGTCGTGCTCGCTTCGGCAGCACATATACTAAAATTGGAACGATACAGAGAAGATTAGCATGGCCCCTGCGCAAGGATGACACGCAAATTCGTGAAGCGTTCCATATTTTGCACATTGCCCACATTACATTTCACTTCTAAAACATTACATTTCACCCTCTGCAAAACGTGCAAATTCTTCCCCTTTCAGGCGGTGTGTGATGATACCTTATTTGCGTCCTCCACATTCTCAGTTGAACCTTGCACTCTGTGCAACAATGTTGTCAGTAATTATTATTAACAACTGCCAGACTATCTCTTGTTGTTTGCATAAATTCAGAAGCAGGACTTTGACATTTCAACATGTTTTCAAAGCATATTTTAAACATTAAAATCACCCAGGAATGCTTCGGAAGACCTTTATCAAAGTATGACATAGACCTAGTCACTGAGGTATGAGGGTTGATGTCCAAAATCTTCACAAAAGAGGTGGATGCCTTATTCAGTAACAGGGACCGAGATAAGGGTAACATTTAGGAACGCCATTTAAAAAATTGTCTAATCTGCTTGCAAATACAACTCCCATTGGTGGAATGATGAAAATTGTGCATGCCGTTGCATTAACTCACCAAGGCTCCTTAGGCAGAGTCTTCCATACCCACAATCACCATCATCCAGACAGAAAGGGGCAGCAGATGCACAGGACCTGCCTGCGAGTTCCCCTCCAAGCTACTCACTATTTTGACTTGAAACAAAATCACTATTCTTACACTGTCACGAGGTCAAAATCCTGAAATTCTTATTTTTATAAATTTCTATAAACTGTGTGTTGCTATACCCTAAAGGCAGCAGCTGACTCAGAATACAGCTCACTTCCACCCTCTCCAGGGCAATTGAGGTTAAAGAATAAATGTAAATGTCAGCCATTGACACCAAATTCCATGAATACATACAAAAAGAAAATAAGAGGGTCACTGATTTCTAAAGATTAAAGTCAAGTTTTACACAATTCTATGACAAGAATGGTAAATGTATGTTACTAATATTTTTGAGGCAAATTCTCTTGGATGACAAACTGATGAGCATCACTTTTGTGCTGCCATCTGCATTTTATGTCAAAATCAGCATGGACAAAGCCATCTCCTGAAACCTATTGGACCAAATTACAATTTTTAGACCCATTTCTAACACAAGTGTGACAAACGGAGACATCTGTAAAATTTCCAGTAGATGCATCAGTGAGGATATGCTAGATACAGGTCTCCGCAACTCGTGGTGGTACTAGATGATTCCTACATTAGCAACCAGATTTGGTAGGTCCATGACTGAAAGAGTGCATAGGGATGGCTGGAGGGAAGGAGGTAGGGGTGAGAAGGAAAACACAGACTAAAGAGAAAGGGCCAGTAGGGAAAATATAAACAAAAACTAACAGATTAACAATTATTGGTTCACCCAACCTGTCACACACAATTGTGTTACCAACACGATAATATATAGATTCTCCAACACGACCTCATACTATATCACCAGGAAGAGGCAAGAAACCTCTCGTGGGATGTGGGCATCACTGGCCAGGCCATTATTTATTCCCGCTTTTTCGTCTTTCCCCTTGAAGTCTTTAGCATCTAAAAATTTATAAGTCTCTTTCTTGAATATACTCAGTTGACCCAGCCTCCGTAGCCTTCTGTGGAAGCAAATTCCACATGTTTTCTGCCCTCTGAGTGAAGAAACATTTCCTCATCTTTGTCCTGTTGTGACCAACTGAATGGTGGAAGGGAAGGGGAGGCATTCTATCATTTACTCACCTGACCAAAACAAATAAATTCTGCAAACAGGAAATTTGGCCTGTCTTTGAATGCTGTTGAAAACAATACTCAAATCAACCGATAGTTTATCAGCCAAATATTCACCTTCCACAGACATTGAAGGAGAGATTCCAGAATATGTTGAGCACTTCCCATATTTCAGCAGTTACTGTTGGCAAGGAAGTCCAACACTGATTTGGCTGCCCTGGCTCAGCCTTCTCCAAAGCACAGCAGCGAGTATTTCAGACTAAACACCTCTGCAAATCAATGAAGTTGTTGTACAGAGCAGATGTCATCAGCACACTCCAGTACTGCAGTGATATCTTGATGGAGAATTAGCAACACAAAAGAGTACCAAGGAAATTCCACCAGCTTTGCATTCCATCTCTTGGACTCACCGGGGGACTACTGAACAAACATTTGTGTCCTACATGAAACTAGCTCCGAAAACAATTGGGAAAACTGCTGCGATGGGCTTGACACTGTGTCTGGATGGCTAAAAAATATCTCCCCTACCAGGTCCTGTTTTATCTCAATGGTCATCATAGCCGGAGAGGGCAAAGACACTCTGAAGCTCTCCTTGAAGAATGCCAATATTGACATTAATGACTAAGGTGTATCTTGCTGCCAATAAATGGTGCCTTGTTGATCAAGCTGCATTATGCTTTGAGTCATAACATTTTAAAGGAGAGGAGAAAGAAAGCTGAGGCATTAACTCATATATTCCAGGTCGCAGTACCTCAGAGATGTCCTGCCCACTTGTCCAAAGATCAGTGGGTCGAGAATTGACCTATTCAGCCACATGAAGACCCTCAGCAGAAACCCGTAACCCTGAGACAGAAACAGGAATCAGCTGAAGGCAACAATGATTAACGCCACATTACCAGTGTCACAGCGTAGGGGATAGCAAATCATAACAATTACAATTCTTTGAGCGAAAGAATTTCTCTTTATCTCAGTCCTAAATGATTGATCCTTTATTCTGAGGCTGTATCCCCATGTCCTAGATTCCTTAGCTAAGGGTAACAGTCTCTTAGTGTCCACCCCGTCAATGAGGTAACCCTATCATCCCAGGAGCCAATCTAGTGAACCTTTTCTGTATTAGCTCTGCCCTTAAATTTGGAGACCACAAATGCGCACAATACTCAGATGTAGTCCCATGAAAGCCCTTAAAATTTAGTAAAACCTCCTTATTTTGGACTTCAATCCCCTTGCACTAAAGGCCACCTTCCCAACCACTTGCTGTACTTTCATACTAGGTTCCTATTTTATGTCTCTCTGAAGATTAACATTTATAAGTTCTGTTCTGTTTGAATAATATTCTGGGTTTCTATCCTTTGTCTCAAAGTAGATAGCTTTCTCCAAATTTCTCCAAATTCTACTCCGTCGTACAACTTGTTACTCATTTACTTAAATCTGCCTAAAGCTTTTTGTACTTCTTTGTATCCTCCTCATGGCTTACATTCTCTTAGAAATCTTTTCACCCAGAGAGTGATAAGCCTGTTCAATTCTTTGCCACAGAAAGCAATGAAGGCCAAAACATTGAATATTTTCAAGGAGTTAGATGCAGTTCTTAGGGTTAAACGGGACCAGCCATGATCACATTGAATGGTGGAACAGACTTGAGGAGATGATTGGCCGACCCTTGCTCCTATTTTCTATGTTCCTGTGTTTTTATTTCCAACAATCTTTGTGTCATCTTAAACTTGAATAATTTTCTCTTTGCACTTTGTCACTTATACCTAACATATCTGGGAGTTCAGCCACTGAATCCAATTCCTTGCTCTTTTGGAAGATGTAAAGGTATTTTTATCTCTTGGTGGTGGTGTTAAGTGATTGAGATTGGATCAGCTGCTCAATGTACAGCTAAAAGTATTTCCCTTTGAAATAGAAGGGCAATCTGATGCTCACAGTTTTACACCCTGACAAAGTTGAATGTTATGTCTATTTATACATCAACTGCAACGTTTAGGCAATGAGTCTTTCTGAGGTCTATGCTTCAATTAATTAGAACCAGAAGGCTGATGTAACTGTGCAATATTGGGCTGCAAGGTAAATTGATGGGGATGGTAGGAGAGCCTTGGTTGAATAAAAGAGGTTGGTGTCTGTGCTATCACTGGCTCATTCAATTTTGTGAGACCTCACAGATGGCACCAGCTCACTCCACAAAATAACTTAAATCTTATCTCTACAGGATGTTAATGGTGCTGTAAGTCTACCAACCCAACTCAGAAGCCATTGCACCAATTTTAACAAGTAAAAATTGGACCTTTAAAGTTTAAGTTATTGTCTTAATTATTTATTTGAAAGTGATGATGGACCAAAGAATTGTTTTATTCATATCAAAGAAAAGATCTTGTATTAATTTAATGCTTTTCAGTCCTTCAGGGCATCCCCAAGTGCTTCATAGATAATATTGTCCTTATGAAGCATTATCACCGCTGTAATTAGGAAACACAATGGCTAATTTGAGCACAGGAAGGTCCTACAATCTGCAACATGATAATAATCAGTAAATGTAAAGGAAATGCTAATTAGGTCTATAAGACATAAATTCATGTATTTGTTCAGTAACAATGTTGACCAATGTTAAACATCTGCTGAATCTTGGTTAGAGCACACTTTGAATACAGTTAAGATCTCAGACCAGATCACCAGATTTATGTTGCAATCTGTCTAGTGACCAGTAATTTTTTTATTAGAACAAAAGTGTGAGAACCTAGGTAAGGGACTAAAGCAACAAGAATTCCAAAGTTTTGGGATCAACAACAGACTTCACTGTACA